GCCCGTCTTCCTGCCTAAAGGAGCCATGAGCCCACAGCAAAGCTTGAACTTTTAGCTGCTTCTTCATCGAATATCCCTACAGATAAAGTGGTTTGTGTGAGTGGCATTGATTCAACTCTCTAAGCTATATATATTGACATATATAAGCTTTTGCTTTTATTAGTCAATTCTATAAATCTTTTCCTTTACTGTTTCAACTTTTGGTGAATGCTTAGTTAGAATGGTGCTATCCACCTCAAGATTACATACAGTATTTTTTTTCAATTTTATCTATAATTTTTCCCTTGTAGATTTTATGGTTTTAAAAATTATATTTAAATTCTTAATACATCCTATTTATTTTGGCAAAAGTGGAGACAGAAACCTCTTACCCAATTTCATTTATTCAATATTCCTTCATTTTCCTTACTGAATAGTATAAAATCTTTTAAGCCCTGATGTCTTTGACTGAACTTTCTATTTTGTTCTTTTAATGTTTGTGATTTGTTAATACCAATCTATTTATTGTGGTTTTGCTAAATCATTTAATATTTTATAAGGGAAGTTCCTTTCATTGTTTTTCAAAAATAATTTTTAAATGATTTTTTTTGCCTTTGTCAATTTATTCTTAGAAAAAATAAATAGTAGAGAAAACCTGTCCCTAGAGGGGAAGACAATATTAGAAATTACTACATTTTACCCAATTAGTCTATAAATCTAATACCACTCTCATCAAACTATCAATAAAATGTATTGAATAGTCTTAAGTAGGCCTTTGACTCTAAATTAGGTCTTAGTGAAGCTTTATCATTTTATTTACATAGTTCTTATAACTCTTGGTTCAGTTTGTTTCTATTTTATATTTTGTAGCTATTATTGTATTGTGAGTGGCTATTGCTAGTATATAAAAAACGACTGAATTTTCTGTTTACCTTTATAAGCTAACATTATTCCAAATAGGTTTCTTCTCATTCTAATAAATTTTGGTTTAAAATCTTAATTTTTAAATAATAAACAATTATAACATCTGTAAACTACTAACTCTTTCCTCTAATTTGCAAGATTTATTTAGCTTATTGTAGAAGTTCTTAGCTAATGAATAATAGTAATGATAGTAACATCTTTATTTTATTTTATTCCTTACATTGATGGAAGCATACATCTTTATTTTATTTTATTCCTTACATTGATGGAAGCATATGTGGTGTTATCTCATGTTGGTTTTATCTGAAATAGGCCTCCTTTGCCTTGTTAAAGATGTGCCTGTTATTCTTAGTTTACTGAGTTAAAAATAAATAAATCAGGGATATTGTGAATGCATTTAGGTTCCATGGGAGTGATGATGAAATTTTGACTTTTTCTTAAAGGATTTTAGTGTTCATTTAATTTACCACTGACACATACCTTCACTTTATAGCATATGTGGAAAATTGAGGTCCAGGCTGCCTTTGAATATGTCCAGTGATAGGAAACTAACTCCCTATAAAGTAGCTCCATCCATTCTTGATATGTCTCCATTTACTGAACCTGGGTGACACTGATCGGTAAATCAGCAGTCTTCTCAACAGTGTTCTGACTATTTTAGAATCACTCCTCTGTTACCCAGTCCATATTTTTCAATCTTGCTGACAAACATATTGCACGATGCCCATGGTCAATAGTTTACTGAAAGCATTATAATAATGCTATCAAAAGAGATTAATTTATTCCAATATGACTTATTCTAAGTGAAACCATGGTAATCACAAATGCTTACAAAGTACCTATATGATAATGTTAGAACTTTGGACATCTATATTAAGTTCAAATTAAAGCAAAAATTAAAATAGTTCCTAACTAAATTTTATATTTCTAATATTTAACAAACCTTCAGCTGCAACAGAGATATTAAATGTAATTATTACAACGCCTTTAAAAATTAAGAAATTGAGGTTCCAAGATCTATTAGTACAGGCCACTATTTCACTCAAACCAGAATTTACATAGGACCTTCATTCACAGAAGATCAGGCCTTCTGGGGGTTCTAGGGTGTTTTGGGTTTTTCCCCCTGTGGATTCTACATGCAGTAGGGGCAGGGCTTGGGTCCCCATGCTTTAAATAATCCAGATGAATTCCTAACTAAACTACTATTTGTAGCTCTCAGCCAGCTAACCCCAAACTGCATTTCCCAGAAAAGCCCTGTGTCAGTTCGTTTCCCATCAACAGCAGCATCTCAGAAACTGCAGCTGCCCTAAGTCTTTCACGTAATGCCTCCTGAGCTTCTTTTTGAGTCATCAAGCATCTAGTAATGGTTTCTCAACCTTTCGTCCCTCTGGGCTCCTAGCGTGAGACCTTCTAGAGGCCAACCCTTTCACTTTGCTCATTTTGCCCAAATGACTTTACAAAATACTGTTATAATAATAAACCAGTTTTTGTAAAACCAATCAAACAGCAGGTGCAGATATGAGACAAGTCTTCTCTTATTGGAATCCCTTCCTCCTTCCAAAGGGGTTCCCTCCACCTTCGTCCCCACATCTCAGAGTTACACCTGAGTGCATTTTATATTTCAGTACTATAGACATCCTGCATAAACACAGATAACGTAAAAGAACAGAACAATTTTTTACTCTATGAAAAGTATAATTCCTTCACGCATCCACTGTGTTTTACTTTGAGAACTGTCATTTCTTCATGCACCTCAGTTTCTTCATTTCTCCACATCTGCTCAACACTGCTGTATTTGGCTTAAAAATAGGTTAATCAGTTGAAAAGTTGTCTTAGCTTATTGTTTCACTGTGTTTTCTAAATGTAGTTGAAAAGATAAAACTGCATAATCATAAAATGCAGAAAGTTAAAAATTGAGGGGTTCTGGTAATTGTATATCCACTTACTGCTGAACAAGTGAAGCAGAGGGAGACGAAATGTCCTCTCTTAATGGTTAGCACAAGAATTTAGGCTTTCAGACTTCCAGCCTAAAGCTCTTTCCACTTCATCATATCATAAGCTTTCAGAATCTTCCAATTATTTAAATACCACCTTTTCTCTCCTGGGGAGAAATGTCCCTGGGATTTATTGGTCCATTACTAACTACATTTCAAATAATAGAGAAAAACATGCCCTACCTTGAAAAATGATAATCTGATATCACACTATAAGTTTGCTGTAATAATTTTTCAGTGTAAATGATGCTACCTAGGAATGAAAAAAAAAGTGCTATGAGAAAGGGCACAAACAGTTCAATTAACTATAACAACAACAAAATAAATTGTCTCTATTTTTCTTTTCTAAGTTAAAGACTAACACTTCAACTAACACTACAGGTCCTTCCTAATTGCTTTCACTCATAGAATTTGAGTCAGATAAAAAACACCTGAATTGTTACTTTCCCCACTAAATTGTTTCCTATACTTGATTTTACCAGAATGATTATCTTGACACTACTTAAATTAAATATTCATTAACTAATTAATTTAAGCATCAAAGCTGTTGAGTTCTGACAGGTAGAAATTGCTACAAACAAATTTCAAGTAGAGTATCTTATTGCTGTGCATAATTACTAAGAAAAAGATTTTAAAATTATGGCTCCATATGTTAAGAAATCAAAAAAGGATATTCTGAAATCAGGAATGATATGCTGGAGAATGGTCACATAGTTTCTCAGGGATGTTCTTTTAGTGGCCAAGAATGTTTTCTCTCTCTTCTAAATACTTCATCCATCCTTTCATCCACTCATTCCTTCCACATACCAGTGCCAAATATAGAACTAGGTTCTCAGAATACAATGGTTTCTGTCTTCTTTGAACTTTAGCTCTTAGCACACTGGCTAAGTCTCAGCTCTGAATTTGTGACCTCTTTCCCCCTCCATCTAGCTGACTGCTGTTGCTCACATTTCCAACATCCATTGTATTGTCCACCCAAGCCAAGGTACCTTTAGGGACAGGAGCTCAGGCAGTCTGGCTGTCTTCAATCCACCTGCAAAGGGCTTCTGATCATTTTATGTCTGGTTCTTTGCCAACCATCATTTAACTAGCACCTCCTTGGAAAGGTCTCTTATAAACACCCAATCTTAAGGATTCAGTCCCCAGTTACATCCCATGAATCTCTTATTTTCATGGTAGCCTTTGTCTCTGATATTTTCTCAGTTGCTTGTTTAAAGCGTCTCCCTCTCTTCCATGAAGACTGTGGAGGCCGACAGGAGCCTTACCTGGCTAGTTTGCCTCTGAATCCTAAAGTGGGAGCTGGGCACCCAGTTGGCATTGATTAAATATCTGTTGAAGGAATGAATGGGCTCCTAATTGTCAACTGCTGGTACTACAGATACTTACTCATCCCTGTTGAGAAGTTTTTAATTCTCACGTTTCTGAAGATTAAATGAGAATGTAAAACTAAGTCTTAAAATTAAAAACAGTTTGGAAATGTGGGAAACATCTGCAGATAAATGATTCTGGCATTTGCAGCGATGGAGGGAAAGATTTTCTCTTAAGTAAGCAGGCTGCTGGCCTCTATCGTTATCATAGGAAAATGCTTGCCTATTTTTGTTGGTTTGCTCAGGAACTGGGAACATCTGGCACTGGGATCATAGCAGTTGTTCATTTTTAAAGCGAAGAGTTGCAAGAACGTTGGGGGTTGGGAATGGAAGAGAAAATGCCTTAAGAAAATGAAAGCAGCCTAGAGAAACCAGAAGCTCGTGTTCCTTTTATTTAAAAATACTTTCAAAATTTCTTTTTTTCAATTACAGCTTAGTTTCAGATGCACAGCGTAGTGGTTAGACAATCATACTTTACCAAATGGTCCTCCGATATTTCAAGTACCCGCCTGGCACCAGTACATACACAGTTATGACATCGTATCTCTTGTAAAAATACAGGTTTCCTTGGTTCTTCAAGAGTCTTACTTAAGGGAAGCTTCCTAGAAAGTTCTTAATTTGTGTGGTTTCTAAATAAGCAGACTCTTAGGGCTATACAAAAAAAAAAAAAAAAAAAAAAAAAAAAAAAAAAAAAAAAAAATTGCGTGTGTAGCCCCGCCTACTTGAGGTTCATCCAGGCCCAGAAAGTTGTGGCTAACAGGACTGGCTTTGGCCGCTCTTTCTGGAACGTCATTCTGATCCCTTTAAAGGTGGGATCATGACGGAGGATGTGGGGGAGGAAGGCGGGAGCCCACGGCTGGAGAGTCTCCGTTGACATAGTAACTTCAGCTCCGTCTCCCCTGCTCCAGGCTCCCAGGCTCCCAGGCTCCGCTGCCACCCGCCGCCCCGCCTGCACTCACTCACCCCGGGAGCCGGGCCTCTTCCTTGCGGGGTCCCCTGGGTGACCCTCTCACTGGCGATTTCTCCCCCTGCTAGCAGCAAAGCCGCTCTCGGAGCTCGGACCGCCAGGCGCCCGCACCCCCGCCTCACCCTCGTCCCCCGGGCGCCCGTGTGCCCCGGGCCAGTCCGGCGAGTGACGCGGAGCGCGCACCGCGCCCCCGGGAACTGCCCAGGCGTCTCCCCAGGAGCGGAGCGGAGCGGGGCCCGGGCCAGCCCGGCTTCCCGCCATGAACCCCAGCCCACCGTTCGGGGCCCGGCCGGGCGGCTCTCCCCGGGCCGCTGCCGGGGCGGGCGCGCGGCGCAACGAGAGCCAGGACTACCTGCTGCTGGACGCGGAGCTGGGAGAGGACGGCTGCGCGCAGCCCCCGCTGCCGCCCTCCGGCTACTACCCCAACGTGTAAGTGCGGGCGCCGCGGGGCTGTGCGCTCGCCGGGGGGTGCGAACCGACCCGCGAGCCGGGGCTGGGACCCCAGGAGCGGAGGGGCGCGTGCGGGTCTAGATCGCTCCCGGGGAGCAAGCGCGGGTAGGTGTGCCCGCGAGCGTGGGACCGCAGGCCACCGAGACCGCCGCGGGTGGTGATCGGGGGGCTGGTCAGTTTCTGCAGTTGGGGTGTCAGCTGGCACCCTCGAAGGGACCCAGTGTCCTGCGCCAGTGGCGTGCATGGTCTGGGCAGGGCACTGGTTCAGATGGGCGCCCCTCTGACCCAGCCTCCGTGGGAGAGAGGAGTGGCGCACGGGGTCCCTGGCTGCCCCGGTGCGTGTCCCCGCGCGCTGCCTGCCCTAGCCTTCAGGGGCGCGCACAGGGCCTCCGGACCCCGGACGGCAGGGGAGCTGAAGGATTGCGTGGGACGGGGTGCACTCGCCCTGAGACATCCTCTCCCCGCCGCCGGGTCACCAGGTTAAGTCTGGGAAATAGAACTTGTAGGCTTCCCCACCCGAAGCTTTTACCAAAGGCGTCGGGGGAGATGAGCCTGCTAGGGTGCGGGCCGGCGAGGAGAAAACTGGAGAAGCCGTGGGAGTGCTGGGGTAGGGGTCATTTCTAGTGCATTCTCAGTAATTAAAATACTTTAAGAATTTGTGGTGTTTTTTGGGGGTAGGGGCGGGGGGCGGGTGGAGAGGCGATTGGCAGAGGCTGGCAGAGGCTGGCAGAGGGCGAATGGAGGAAAAGCCTCCCTTCCCCCACCCGCCTGGGCCCACTGGTGCAGCTGGTAGATAGCGTTTCTTCCTCTTTGCTCCTTCACTTGACTGGGTAGTCTGGTTTCCTGACTTGACACATCCATCCGTGTGCGGTTTCCTCTTAGGAAAGCAGGTCTCAGTAGCAGGTCGGTAAGCAGCTCTAGAGGTGCATGTGGGGGACAGGGCATTTCCGCCCCCTTGGCCCCTGGTAGACCCCCAGGATAGCAGAGTGCGCCCTGCAGTCTTTGGCCAGGGCTGCCCACAGCCACAGCTGCTGTGGTTCGCTTTCACAGTAAGAGGTGAACCCTAGGAAATGGATCGTCTCCTTTTTTCCCTCAAGATGAAACAAAAAAGTTAGAACTGGTTGCATTCATCTGTGTGCTGTACAACTTGAAATCATTTACTGTTACTTATCTTTTTTTGTTTTAAGATGTGAAATTTTATTTTAGGCTATTGGTTTGTAGGAAATGCCTAGTATATTTTTTTTCTGTATGTGTATGTGTCTTTTTCTTCTTTTTAAAATTAAGATATATTTTACATACCCATACAATTCATTTTAAGTTGTACAGTTCAGTGGTGTTCAGTATATCCACAAAGTTGTGAAACCATCATCACTATCTAATTCCAGGACATTGTCCTTATCCCCAGAATAAATTTTGTATTTGATTTTAAATTACAGAATATTTTTATTTCTTACGGTACAGCACTTCTCAAACTTTAGTGGACCTATTAATTACCTGCAGATCTTGTTGAGATGCAGATTCTGATTCAGGGCTCTAGGTGCAGCCCAAGACACTGCATTTCTAACAATTGCTGAGAAAGGTGGAGGCTGCTGGTCCATGGACCACACTCTGAGTAGCAAGGATATATATGCCAAGAAAAAAATAGAAAGAAAAATGAATCAATCCTGGATATTGTAAATACCACTATTTTCAAATGTGACTTGAGAGTATATGTTTAAAACATAGATGAACTTTTTTTTTATTGGCTTAGATTTGAGATCTACTAAAACGGTAATATCTGTGGCTAAGTTAAGCAACTTAAAATAGCTATACTGTTTTTTAAATATTAGACTGTCCCATAAACAAAAATCTTTTCTTTTTATCACCTGGTTAGTCTATAATCACTTGTTACTGTCTGTGGGAAAAATAATTCGATTTAAAAACTAGTGGGTAATATATTAGTAGTGAGAGAGACTAAGTAAAGTAGTAAGATCATGTTCTAAAAACTTCTCCCAATGTTTTCTTCAAATGTAGTTTACTGCCTTACTGATTTATCTAGTTTTTACATTACCTACTATGCAGAGAGTATTTTTCTCCCTTAGTTCAGGAATTCCAGATCAATCTTAATGGCTAGACCTGGGCAGCAGAGAGATGAGCAGAAATATTTGAATGTGCTTCAGTTCATAAGGAGCACCCCCTCATGTCATGTCAGAGTTATTATAATAAATTTAAGAGTGAGCCTTGTTCCAGAATTAGAGTTTGGCCTTGTCTAAATCTATTATTTCCAAAAGGTTTTATAGTTACTTTTTATTACCATTTACTCTAGCAAGGTTTTTATTTTTCCCAGTTAAAAGTCAAGGAACTGAAATATTTTAACCAATAAACAGCAGTACTTCACACCTATGATGTAAGAGAAAGAGCTAAAAGAAACTGCTTCCCTTTGGTAGAGAGTACAAATAAACCCTTCCGTATGCTATTGACATGTTATTTCAACAATTTCATACATTTCCCCAGAGTGGGAGGAGTGTTCTTTGTGAAAGGGCAATCATTAGTACACTTTAGACATGGGCATGGCCATTTTCTGAAATCATCGAGATTTTCCTCTTATAAGATCACAATTTTTTTTGCAAGTTGTCTTTTCTGTGAGATAAATTCAATGACTTTTGCTAAAAAATTTTGTTTCATAATGCACTATGTAGAAAGATTTTTACGTATATTCATGAGGCTTTACTACTAAAAATTGTGGCAAATTATTTTTGTTTGGGAGCAATTCTCAGGCCTTAATAGTGTAAGTAGTAACATTTTGAAATGGTTTTTAGAAGAAAAAGATTCAAATTCTTCCTTTTTCCAACTTTTAATTAGTAGTCAATTAATGTGCTCTGTTTGGGTCAATTTGTAATGGTGATTAGCAAGAAATGGTCCATGTTCTGCCAGAATCCTAGGATGTGTATTATTTAGAACTTAAAAGTATGTCTCTTGTCCATCACTTCTGAATATGAGGAAGAATTCTGGACATAAAAAGTAATATTAAGGGTTTCTAAATTCTCAAGATCTGAAACACAGTCCAACTAAGCATTCTGTTTGGAAAAGGCTGACTAAATAATTAAGCATATTGACATAGTAAGCTGTTTGTAAACTAAAGCTCTGGCAATATAGTGGACTGAAATAATTTTAAAAAATTATGGTTATTAATACCTAGCAATACTGGATAAAATATTTAAAATAATTTTAAAACCCAGTTTTGCAAAAAGTAAAGGAGATTACCATGTGTCACAAGCAAAGAAATTAAAAGGCAGAGTTTAGCCTGTGAGCTGATGCTGTGGCTGCCTGGGGGATTATGGATGTGAGTGACCAGGAGCTTGGAGTCTAGTGTCCATATGAAATGGAGAGAAGCTAAGACCTTGGTCCCAGATGAGGCAGAGAGTTGGGACTGAGACATCTTCAGCCCTGCATAAGTCCAGGATCCTTGTTTTTATGAGAGGCTAGGCTAGAAAAATACACCACCCGCACAAAGTGAAAACAAGAAACTTTATTAATAAAAGGAAAAGAAATCTCCCCCTAAAAATTTCATTCTTTGGGCCTGCATGTCACATGAGTTTTGGTTTTTGCTTTTATTTTTTATATGACTGAGATCACCTGGAAATCTTCAAGCTGAAAAATACCCTTAGGACTCCTGGAAGAGTAAAATAGAAAACCATTTTGAAAGAGTACCAACCATCTCAACTGCCAAGGATTTTCAAGAAAATGGCAAAAGACAGAAGAGCATGGATAAACATATGTTCACTGTAATACATGACAAAACGAGCAAGGAAATAGTCAACCAAGAATGAGAGCAGATGATACAATCCATGAGGGAGAATCAGCATGAGCTACAACAGCCTTATTGGATCCTGATAATGGAACTTGAGGTAATGCAGCAACATGAAAGAGGATATAAAATACAGGATATAAAAATAAAAGTGTTGATAATATATAAGGAGAAATCAAACTCTAAGGAGAGAATAAGACCTACTTAAAAATAGAAACTCTATAAATGAAAATATAATTTTGAAATAAAAACTCTGTGCAAGGGTTAAAATGCAGATTAGCCATAGCATAATTGATGATAACACCCAGCAGGCAGAGACATAAAGAAACGGTAAACATAAACATTAGTGAGTCATGGAATAAAAAGGTAGGAGTTCCAGAAGGAGAAAATGCAGAGAATAGGGGAGAGGCAACATTGGAATAGATAATGGCTAATGATTTTCCAGAAATGATAAATTCTCATGTTTATGAAGTACAGCAAAATTAGTGCAATACATAAAAATAAACCCATTTAAACAACTTACTGAGATTGCAGAACGCTAAAGACAAGGGGAAATATTAAAATGAACCAAAATATAAGGGATTTGAATGAGTAAGTTATTTTTAATTAAAAAACTTCAATTACAGTTTATATTCAGTATTAATTTGCATTAGTTTCAGGTGTATCACATAGTGGTTAGACAGTCATGTGCTTTACAAAGTGTTCCTCCTGATATATCCAGTACCTAACTGGCACCATGTACAGTTACTACAGTATTATTGACTATATTTCCTATGCTATCCGTTATATCCCCACTACTATTTTGTAACTACCAATCTATACTTCTCAATCCCTTCATCTTTTCCACCCCACCCCTGTAACCTCCTCCCCTCTGGCAACTATCAGCCTGTTTTCTGTAACTATGAATCTGTTTTGGTTGCTTATACTGTTTCGTAGAGTCCACATATAAGTGACATCATGTGGCATTTGCTTTTGAATGGCTTATTTCACTTAGCATACTATCCTCCAGGTCCATTCATGCTGTCACAAATGGTAAGAGTTCATTATTTTTTATGGCCAAGTAATATTGTATATATGTTCCACTGCTTTTTTATCCACTCAACTTTGATGGCACTTGGGTTGCCTCCATAGCTTGGCCATTGTAAAGATTGCTGCATTGTACGTAGGGGTGTATATATTCTTTCAAATTAAT